TTATCCTTACTGAGGTGAAATCGGTAGGTTGACCAGACTTCAGTGTATGGACACACACCCAAGAGCACTTGGATGCAAAGACTAGAATTGATAAAACTTAGAAAATAAAGCAGAACAAACAAACAAACAAACAAAAAAACCCAACTCAACAACTCTCCTCAATGAAGCCTCCTCCCTTGCAACAGAGGGCAATGAACACAAAGGGCCACAAATGACCAAAGCATAGAGAATAAGAGTCTGCAGAGTGTGGGTCCTTTGTCAGGACTCCAATATTCAACTTCACCATCCAGGACTCAGGGACCATGATGGAAGTTGGGGTGGATAGGTTGTGAGAGCCATGTGAGAAGGTACATGACCACATGGATACAGAGACTTGCAGACTCCTGGGACCTTGCACATATAAACTTAGAGCAATGGTAGCAGCATACACAAGATCCATGCAAACACAAGCAGACAAAACCCCACCATAGAACTGTGGAAATGAAGAGCAGGCCCCAATCTTAGTCAAAGAATTATTGGCAGCTGATTACTGCTGGGTGAGGAAGAGCTGATCTTCCTAAAGGGAGGGACTCTAGATAGACTGACTAGATCCCAGTAGATGAACTTAACTGAGGGACAACATCTGGGGACACTAACTTTACCTGATAGGCTTAACACAAATGACAGAAGGTGTGAATTCCCAGTGGGGAGTGCTATGGGACCGTGCCAGAGGGGAAGGGAGTATAAAGATGATTTTTTGTATGAAATACACAAAAATTCAATAAAATTCTGGTGTCATTTAGCTCTTTGCTCATGGTTTACTTTAGCTCTTCTAGCATAGTTAAAAAGAGTCAATGGATAAACCAGGCATAGTGGAACATACCTGTAATTCCAGCATTCAGGAGATGGAGGAAGGAGGATCAGAAGTGCAAGGTAACCCTCGGTTATATCTAATGTAAGGAGTTTGAGGCTACCTTGAGATGCATGAGATGCTCTTTAAAAAAAGTTTGTGGAAAGTCTTATGCAGTATTTCCAATGTCTGTGCTTCTTCAGGGAGAGTTTAATTTCTTTTTTTCTTATATGTGTAACATACTTTTTTTTGCCTAGACATTCTTCATTAAAAGCAATACTTTACAAAAATTTTATGATTTTCTTTTTTTTATGTGTATGAATGTAACGCCTGCATGTATGTATGTGTACCCAGGTCACGCAGTGCCCATGGAGGTCAGAAGAGGGCATCAGAGTCCCTGGAACTGCAGTTACAGATGGTTGTTAACTGCCATGTGGGTGCTGGGAAACGAACCCAGGTCCTTTACAAAGCAGCTGGTGCTCTTAACTGCTGAGCCATCCCTCCAGCCCCCAAAAAAAAGAACAAAAAAACCCAATACTTTTAAATATAATAAGGTGATCAGATTTTTCCTTTCCTAGATTTTATTGTTGCTATATATTGTGGTTGAAATTATTTGCTTAGTGGTTTTTCTGAACATTATAAATCTATGAAGGCTTTTTTCTCATGGCTTAATGGTCAGCTAGCACTTGAACAGACATTTAACTGCTGAAATGAAAAGAAGAAAAGAAAGTTTTTACCAATACTTCTGTTTATGTACTGGGGCATACCTTCAATATTCAGCTAGACGGCTACAAATCCACCTAAACTTTTATTTCCTTTTTGAGAAGAGCCTAAAAGTTAGTCAAAGGTGACAAGTTAAGATTGGAGCTTTTTTTTTTTTTTTCTGATAGGGTCTCATGTGGCCTCAAACTCACTAGGTAGTGCAGGATGATCTTGAATTTCTGATCCTGCACTTTGCAGATGCTGAGATTATAGGCATGTGCCACCACATTGTTTATGGGTTGGAGCTTTTAAAGTCTTTATTCCTAAAAGTCTCTTACTCTAGTTTTTCTTCCTAGGGTTTTGACCTGTGTAGTATTTGTCCAAGTTGAATTCCTTGTCCTAGTGGCAGTAGCTAATGAATATGCTTTCACATTTCTGACAAATGTCCTCTGAGTGAATAAGTCACCTCTCTGTCTCAGGAAACAGTGAGGTGAAATTCAAGCAATCGCTTTGCAGCTGTCCTTCAGGAAGTCACCACACAGGTTACAGTAAGCCTCGACAATTCTCCAAGAACAAAGTCCATTCCTCTTCCTGGGCACCAGAAGCTGGCACAGAAATGTAGCTCATCACATTCAAAATCACTGATGAATGACAACTCTCTGAGACAGTCAGCTGTGTTGGCCAGTGAGTTTTCAGAGTCTATATAATGTTGATTCTAAATTGATATAAATTTATTCTAAATGTTTGCCAATTTATTTAATGGTATTTTTGCGGACATTTTGGTCTTAGAGTTCTACTTGCCACTTTTGCTGATGTCATCTCCAAGGGACTGAAGAACATTCATGGAATAGAGAGGATGAACTTATGCAAAAGAATAGAAGGATTTTTATTTTTGGTGTTTTTGAGACAGGGTCTCCCAGGAGCCCCAGCTGGCCTTGAACTCGCTATGTAGACCAAGCTGGCCTCGAACTCCCAGAGAGCTGCCTGCCTCTGCCTCCACCTCCCAAGTGCTGGGACCAAAGGCATGTGCCACTATGCCTGGCTAGGGGCTTTAAATTAGAGCTGCAGATAGAAAATACTGTATCTGAGAAACCCAAGGACAAGGAAATGAAGAGACACTGTCAAATATTTGGAGACCAAGCAGGAAAAAGACTGGAAAATGTTCATTAAACACAGATACAAAGAAAGAATTTATAGCCTTAAAACTATTTTCCTTGCCAGGCATGGTGGTACACATCCTTCATAACAGCACCTGGGAGGCAGAGGCAGGCAGATCTCTGTGAGTTCCAGGCCAGCCAGGGCAGCATACTAAGACCCTGTCTTTAAAAAAACAAACAAAAAATTCTTTTTCCTGTGTTAATATCGAGATTTTGAGCAGGATGAATCTTAAATATAAAGGACTATCTTGCATATTGTATGTTTTGGTCCTTTGACCAGTGACAACTACATGTCTATAATGGCCCTCACTCTTAGATCATACCAAACCCATGGGGAAGGCAGCAGAGCAATAACTAGGAGGGAATGTGGGATCAAGGAAGGGGTTTCTTACAATTTAGACATGCTTAAAACTCAGTGAAAATGAACCAGAAAAAAATGGAGAAAATAAACAAGTGAAGGAAAAAAGAATATAGATATTAGAAGGGGGAAAGGAAAGCAGGGGCGGGGCGGGGGGTGGAGAGACAGAGCTTTGTACGGCTGGCTTAAATCTTGTTCTGAAACAGTGACTCTAGGAAAGCCAGAAGCCTCTTCAGCAGTTTCCCTCCTTCTTTCCTTAGCATGCATTCTCCACAGAGCTGCAGCGTCATCTCTCTACTCAGGACTCTGACAGAGCCTCATCTCACTCAGAATAAAATCCAGCCTTCTAAGATCCTTCAGGATGTTTGTCTGCCCCTCCTTTGACCTTCATGAACTAGTTTGTGAATGCTCTCCCCCTGGGTGTCTGTCCTTCAGCCACATAGTTTACTATTATTGAATACATGAGGCCCAGGCCTTTGCTTTTGCTGTTCCCACTGCCAGGAACATTCCTCTCCAGACAACCATGCAGCTTGCTTTTTATTTACTTTCCTGGCTTTCTCAAATGCTATCTGCTTGCTTGATAACTACTCTATCTAAAAAACATTACCCTCAATCCAACATATCCTTCCATCCCACTGTTCTTGGTAAAGGGATAAAACAAAAGTTCCTTGTTTTCTAAGTCAATTTTTTAAAATGTGAAGCCTTATTGTTGCAAATAGAATCTGACCTAAGGAATTTTTAATAATCTTTAATTATAGTGAAATAATATGCTTATCTCTAGAAATAATCATGTTTTATCTTTTTATTCCTAAATATTTTATTTTTATTTTATGTGTATGAGTGTATTGCCTGCATGTAGGTAGGTGCACCCATGTCTTGCAATAGCCACGGAGATCAGAGACAGTGTCAGGTCCCTTGGAACTGGAGTAAAGGACAGTTATTAACCACCAGGTGGGTGCTGGGAATTGAACCTGGGTCCTCTGCAAGAGCAACAAGCTCTTAACTGCTGAACCATCTCTCTAGCACCAAGCTTCATCTTTTATGAATATTTTTATGACATACATTAACCTTCTAGTTTTGTGATTTTTCCCATTTTTGAAAAATCTTTTACTTTAGGACAAAAATATTACTTTATCACACAAAAATTCTCTATTACTCTCATGAGACAAAGCAACATATAAATAAATTTACTAATTAATCCAAATTACATTTATGACACAATGTAACAGCTAGGATAACCTGCCCACAAATGGTAAGTTTCTTATCTGTTGTAGGTTGGAAGCACATTTTATTGCTGATTAGATTTTTTTAAGGATTCTTTACATATATTTTTCTTAATGTTACAAGACTCTGAGAGAAACAAAAATGTTAAAGTTTAGTAAGAGCTAACCAAGATAACAGATGATCTTGGACAAAGAGGCTATTTTAGCAAGAAAAGGCAGGAGAGAAAATATACAGCCAAATATCTTCATGTGTTAACCCTATAATTAGTTTTGGATTCAAATGGTATCTGTTTCCCTGAAGAACTGAGGGAGTTAGAAAATAGTTACTTTTTTCTAAAGGACCAAGGGAAGGGAGGAGAAAGTGAGTATCCAGTAAAGCTAGTTGGACAGGAGTCTCTCTGTTGGGACCAGTAATTGTAGACTAGACTCTGAACATTTGCATATTTATGTATTTAAAAATTCAAATTTGAAAAATGAAAAAGAACCAAATATTCTATGACATTTTTTAATCAAGGTGCATATGTCAGAAGCTTACTTACATAGCACTATACTATATATATCACAAGAACATTTTCTGTTAAAACATATATTTAAATTTATTTTATTTTATTATTATTGGGTGTGTATGCTGTGTGAGTGGGGTACATGTGTGCCATGACACAAGTACAGAGGTCAGAGGACAACCTTGGGGAGACAGTTCTCTCTTTCCTTCCACTGTGGGTTCTAGAGATGGAACTCAGGTCACCAGGCTTGCACAGCACACGTTCACTGAGCTATCTTGCCAGCCCTAAATCATAAATATTCAGTCTAATGATTTATTGAACACAGAGACTCTAACTTCAATATTGTCTTTTCATAAACTGGTTTTATATTAATAACTTTATAATATTCATACATACCAAATTAAATATTAAAATATGTAACTTCATAAAATTATTCATAACAGAATATATTATCTATTAAGAATGAATAAATGTTGAGTAACAACTTTATCTTCGCAATACCAAAAATAGCAATCTTAACATTAACAAAATGTATGCATGTATCATAGGGCAAAGCCCAGAAACCATGTAAAAATATTTCTACATATAGGCCTGTCAGTCCATGTTTTATCTTCTAAATTTACATTTTAGTTTGTATAGTAAAGAGCATTTTAGACATTTCTTAAGCATTTAATAAAAGCTTATTTTAACAATTTAATCTCTCCTTAAATGCAAGATATTAGTTATCGCTCTCTAAGCCTACAGGAAGTTTTTTCTTTTGTAGCCTTTCCAGAATTAACTTTTGAAAATGCCAGATCCAAACATTTTATCAAAGCTCAAAATAAATATCTTAACGTCTATAATTTTGTTAAGCCTGACTGAGATAAAGTCTTTGTGCAACCCAAAAATTACAGTTAACTCTGTTTTGTGTTCTGGGTTTTTTGAAGGTTACAGAATACTTTTGTGAATCGTCATTCTTCAATTTTTTTATCAGTTGCTAATACCAATCTATCACTTGCTAAATGCATAAGTTTATCTTAGGTGTTTGAGTATGCATTGGAAAAGTCATACTGTATACAAGGTCCCAGAATAACCACGGTGCCAGACATTCATGTCTTGTTCACCCTGGGTAAGGAAGGCCTAGTGAAATCCTCGCACTGTTGGGTATCACAGATTCCATCTTTACAAAGTCATCCTGGTCACGTTTCTTTTCTGGACCTCATTATTTTCATACCTGTTTTCTATTCACATAGAAGAGATTCTTTCTAAAGAAAAATCTCTTCTGTGTAAAAAGAAGCTGTTAGCTGGGTCCAGATTTAACACTTGAAGATACTTCTTTTACCACTCCAAAATCACATCCTTGACATGTTAGGGTTTTCATAGGATTTTATGCCAATAACCAAGCCATTTACCTATCAAGTGTCCTAGCTGTCCGGGACACTGAAATCTTCCCCTTAAGTGTTTGTCTTTTAGCTAGGCATGGCTAAGGACCTGGAATAACTGGTTTTTCAGAAGAGACCTTGGCAGAGGGGCAGGAGAGTGTAGGTGGACAGGCAGCAGCCTCCATATATCAATGCCATTGTGGTAAGTCAGAAAAGTATATGCATATCTTTTCTTTTAAAAAAACGATTTATTCTTATTTTATGTGTACAAGTGTTTAACTGCATGTATATATGTACACCATATACATTCTTGCCCTCAGAAGCAAGAAGTGGGTGTTGGATCCCCTGGAACTGGAGAGACAGGATCGTGAGCTGCCATGTGGGAGCTGGGGACTAACCCCAGGTCCTCTGCAAGGGACCAGTAAGTGCTCTAACCACTGAAACATCTCTACAGCCCTATACAGATATTTTAAATTAGGTATTCTAAGCACAGTAATTTTTGTGCACAATAAGCTAAAAATGTAAATCTAAAGTGGTCAAACGCTTGTTGTTTAGTTGTTTTTATAAATTTTAGGAGATGATTGAATTTTGCCCCATGCTGCTTTAGACACAAAATAACATATTAAAATATAATTACATGGGCCAAGTGTGGTGGTACATACCTTAGTCCTAACACTGTAGAGGCAGAGGCAGGAGGATCTCTGTGTGATGGGAGGCCAGCCTGAGATAGTCTACATAGCAAGTTCAGGCCATCTGAGGCTACAGTGAGACCCTGTCTCAAAAAATATGAAAACAAAACCAAAAAACAAACAAAAAATCCTCAAAAAATGTACACGAACACAGGTATTCTGAACACAGAAAGCACAGTTAAGTTAAATCAACTCATTCACAGTAGAAATAAGGTAGAAAATTTGTGTCTCTTACATGAAAGCAAAAAGGTGAGCAGGTGAAGCTTGTTGTATAGACTGATCAAGATCTTCCTGTTTCTAGAGCAAATCAGCAGAAAGGGCTGCCTTTAAAAATGGAAATTCTGAATCATAAAATGGAAATTTCAAATTAGTAAAGTCAGAAAACTCTAGTTCATTTATTAATAGGATGATCCAAAACTCTCTAGCAAACCCCAGAGACCCGATATGATTCAAAAAGCCCACAAAGATTTTTACCTTTTTTTAAGACAATGTCAAGCTCATCTCTCTTTGTAGATTTTAGTAAAAGATACCATAGCAATATTTTCCTTTGATAGAGAATTTGGTTCTGCCAGGGGACACCAGAGAAGAGCATATGAGAAGACTGGCGGAGGTGGGAGACGCTCAAGTTTTCCCGTAGAGACAAAGATCGCAGGCATAAGGGTCCTATGCTCGTACCTGTAAGTCAATCTGGGTGACTTCTCCAGTAAAAGTGGATCATCCCTGGGGCTCCGGGTTCATTTTACTATCTTTCTTCAATTCTGACAGGCTCCACAACTCTCGGGTTAATTTCTTATAAGTTAGCAACTTTATCACTTCTTCTCTTAGATGCGTTTAAATTCCAAGTAAAGTATACTTCCTATGGAAGTTTGAACGGAAAATGTCCGGTATAGGCTCCAAGTATCTGAACACTTGGCCCCAGCTGGCAGCATAGTTTATAGAGGTTCAGGAGGTGCAACCTTGCTGAAGGAAGCATGTCTCCAAGCTCCAAACTTCTAGTTCCCTACTCTGTTTCCTGCTTGTGCCTGAGAAGGTGGGCTTTCTGCTCTGGCTGCCTCTGTGGCCATGCCTCCCCACTATGATGGATAATAATCCCTCTGGAACCCAAGGCCACCCAAACAATTTATGAATATCAAATATTCTCTGTCATTTTCTCCCCCAAATAAACTATTCTATGCTATTTGGGGACCTGAGTTTTGTATTGGATTTATGTGGTGATATGGGGGGCAGCTTCTTAAGTGTTCACCCCAAGGTCGGTTCCATCCATAGTATTTCAGGATTGTCCTGCACGTTTATCAGAATATGATGGGGACACTTGGTCATCCTGTGTTACCTGTGTCATTCTGTCTGAGCTAATAAAGTTCCTTCCAACATAAAAATGTAGCATACTTTGGGTTTCTTATAAAGCAATTACATATCCTGAAATCAAATGTTTCTCCAAACAGATTGGGTGTTTAAACCAAATGCTCAGAGAACCAAAAACACATCTAAACAAAGTAAGACTCAGCCAACTCAGAATAAACAAATGGACTGCCACCAACACCAAAGGAGGGCCAAGCCCCAGAAAAAACTCAAACCACTTGAGGAGGCAGTGCCAGACAGCTGGGCATAAGGGTCCTATGCTCGTACCTGTAAGTCAATCTGGGTGACTTCTCCAGTAAAAGTGGATCATCCCTGGGGCTCCGGGTTCAGATGTTCAAGCTGTCAAGGCAAACACACAGCTCTCACCTCAGTAGGAATATGATAGCTTCTTGGAAGAACTTGGACCAAGTATGAGTGGCCATGGCCCAGGAACACAAGATGGGATTTCCCTGAAAGACAAGTTCTACTGTGTTAAGGGGTTCCATGAAATTTTACTAGTTACAGAAGAAAGAAAATCATAAGTCTAGCTATTACCATATTTATTGGTAGGGCCCACAGGTGGACAGATTACAGCAAAGCAGGGAAAAACTATTACAGATCTCAGATGATATTTGGTGACATTCTTAGGTTTTAGATTAGCGAAAGCTAGTGGTTAGCTCTCAGTGGTCAGCCACATTTTGTTTTTGAGACAGTCTCCCTATTGCTCCAGCTGGCCTGGAACTCCCTATGTAGAGCAGGCTGGCCTCAATCTTACAGAATTCTGCCTGCCTCTGCCTCTGTGTTGTTGGGATTAAGGCAGTGTGTCACCTCACCCAGCAAATTAAAGGTTTTAATAATCACAAGATATTAACAAGGAGTGGGTAATAACTGGCTTTCAACAGTTAAAAATAGCCATGATAATTTGTTTCTGGTCTACAACATTTTAACTCTGTAGTCAAGAAGGTCACTCATTTGGCCTTTTAGAATCTTTTTTCTGGGAATTTCAGTTTACAAAACACAACCTCTGTCTGAGGATTTACCTGAGGTTACATTACTAGTTAGTAATACAGTGCTCTAGAGTACGCAGTCCATTCTGAAGCCCATACTTTTAACCAATATACTATGCTGAGTCTGAGACAGATGCAAGAGCAGAGGAGAAAGGTAAATAGGAAGGAACAGTTAAAATTTACAGGGAATAGGGGCTGGAAAGATGGTTCAGCAGTTAAGAGCACTGAGTGCTCATGCCAAGGATCTAGGTTCAGTTCCCAGCACCCACATGTTGGCTAATAACTACAACTCCAGTTCCAGGAGATTCCAACACTCTCTTCTGGACTTTTCAGGCATTGTACACACATGGTACACTTCCATGTAGGCAAAACACCCATATACATAAAATTTTAAAAAAATTTTCAGGGACTACATCCTCATTTTGTGGTCTTTTAGAAATGGCAGCAAAGCTTTTAAAAGCTTTTTCATAAGTAGAGGCTTGAAGACTTTTACTTTTTGAATCATCCTCCAGTAGGGTCACATGAAAGTCTTGGTCCTCAAAGCCCATGAGTTGATCTTTCCCCAGTTGGAAATAGGGGTCTATATTAGTTACTTTTCTCACTGCTTACAGAAGCAACTTAAGGGTTTCTTTTGGCTTCTAGTTTGAGGGTTTGGTCCAGCCTAGTGGGGAAGGCCTGGCAGCAGGACCCAGAGGCAGCTCGTTACATCGCATCTGCAGTCAGGAAGCAGAGAGAGAAGAATGCTGGTGTATCAGTCATTTTCTCAATTTATTCAGTCTGGGCCCTCAGCCCACGGGATGCTGCCGCCCACATTCAGGGTGAGTCTTCCCTCCTCACTTTAGCTTTTCTCACTTTAACTTTTCCAAGGTGATTCTAAATCCCATTAAGTTGATAAGATTAACATCACAGGGTCTTTGCTTACTTTTAAACTTTTTATCTTAGATGAAAGAGCAGTACAAGGGCTAGAGAGATGGCTCAGCGGTTAAGAGCATTGACTGCTCTTGTGGAGGACCGGGGTTCGATTCCCAGCACTCACATGGTGGCTATCAACTGTCTGTAACTCCAGTTCCAGGGAATGCCTCTTCTGACCTCTACAGGCATTGCATGACATGAGTGTACCTACCTACATGCAAGCAATACATTTAAACACATAAAGTAGAAATAAATATTAAAAAGACAAAGAGCTATACAAATAGTCTACTTCAGATTTGCCATATGTGAAAATGTTTGCTTTCTAATGCTATCTGTTGCAATCCAACGTTTTACCTATATTAGTAATAATCCACCTTACTGTCTTATTTCAAATGTCAATACTGGATGGGATGTGTTACTTTTTTTTTTTTTTTTTTTTTTGGCAACAGGGTCTCATGTAGCCTAGGCTGGCCTCTAACTTGCTATCTAGCCTAGGATGGCCTTCAACTCAAACTCCTGGTCCTCCTGCCCCACCTCCCTGTTTAGTTCTGGTATTACAAGTATGTGCCAGTTTTAACTTTTCTTTTTAAAAATGTAAAAAGAATTAGAGAATGTTTTTGAGAATTCAAAATTTTTGTAATAAAATATCCTTTCATTGAACAAATATTTTCTGATATGTAACCTGGATCTTTCATTCTAGCACAAGACAATAAATAAAAATATATTGTATGGCTCAGCAGTTAATAACAGTGATTGTTCTTGCAGAAGACCCAGGTTCGAATCCCAGCACCCACATGGCAGCTAACAACTGGCCATAACTCCAGTCCCAGGGGATCCGACAGCCTCTCTGACCTCTGCGGACATTGTATGACGTGGGTGCACTTACCTACATGCAAGCAATATATGCATACACATAAAATAAAAATATAATTTTTTTAAAAAGTGGGAAGGTGAAAAAATATATATAGTACAGCAAATGAAGTAAGAAAAAGAGAGACTTGCCAGTTGTTCAACTTGGATTCTGGGGCATGCCAGGTTTTAGAGTAATGATGACAGGGTGTTGAATTCTTAGGAAAGATCAGATATGGTGAAATTTAAGCAAACACCTGAAAAAGAGATACTACAAGTAAAGGGATAGAGTATTCTAGGCAAATTCTGAAACAGAGAAATGCTTGGCATACTGAAGAAGTATGGGAGATAACGTGGAGGAAAATCAATGAACAAGTAAAACACAAATCAGGTGATAAGCCACAGGTAGCATGGAAGGACAGTTTATGAAGGGACAACTTACACAGCACTTAAACTACAATTCTGGTTAATTCGGGATTATTAAACTTTGACTTTTTTTTTTTTTTTTTTTTTTTTTTTTTTTTTTTTTTTTTTTTTGGTCTTTTTTGAGACAGGTTCTCCCGTAGCCCCAGCTGTCCTGGAACTCACTATGTAGACCAGGCTGGCCTTGAACTCACAGAGATCTGCCTGCCTCTGCCTCCGGAGTGCTGGGATTAAAGGCTTTAAAAACAATTCAAATTTAAGTGTGTCTTGCTTGCATGTATGTAAGTGCACCCATATGTGTAATGCCCACAGAGGCCAGAAGAAAGTATTGGATCCCCTGGAACTGGAGTAAAGGACAGTTGTTAGACACCATGTGGGTGCTGGGATCATGAACCTGGGTATTCTGCAAGAGCAATCAGTGTTCTTAACTGCTGAGACCCTAAACTTTGACTTTTATTCTGAGATGTTCATCCAGCTGGAGTTTAGAGTACTATCACTGAGAGAGAGAAGACAAGTACCAATGCTGTGATTTGAATCCTGGGGCACTCCAGGTTTTAGAGGTAAGAAAATAAAGAAGAGCAAGCAACAGCCATCTGGGAGGGAAGAGAAACAAGAGGGAACAGAATCTTGGAAGGTAGGATAAGAAGCTCAGGGAAGTGTCAAATGTTGCTGACAGTGAAATGAGATTAAAACTGAGACATAAAAGTCAGATTTGAAAAAGAATGCTGATGATTTCTTGAAAAGCTGTAAGGGGTAAGAGAATGATTGGCATGGGTTCAAAAGAGCAAGAGAGACTAGCCAGGTGTACGTGTGCCTGTAATCCCAACATTCCGAAGTCTGAGGCAGAAGGACTACAGCCAGCCTGGGCTACAAGATCTCTCTCTGAGTTTACTCCAAGTTTACCCATAGTTACCAGAGTGTTGTATGGTATCCAGTGTAGAAAGGCTGATAGATACAGAGTGGCATGGACAGGAATTGCTATTGCGTTCTGATTTCTATTTGGGGCAAAGGGGGCAGATAATGGGTTTTATGTGAGGAAGTATATGTGGGTTTCCATGTGAAACAGCTGGTAAAGGAAGCAGGATAAATGGACTGGCAGCACCAGAGATTTGCCTGTGTGGGACATGGTGGTGAGGAAAATAAGCTAACTTTAAATTAGCATGGGTACATTCCTCAAGTCAAATTTTGCTTGCTCTGTCACAGGCACATACTACAGTGAATAGCCAGAATTGCAGTTTAGGCAGCTTAAGAAAGAAAGGAATTGAGGGTATTTTCAAGCGATTTATCTAAGCTAGGCAATGAATTTTTTTAAACATTTGGTGTTGACTTTTCTATTTTAAGTTTTATGTGTCAGGGCTGGAGAGATGGCTCCATGGTTGAAAGCACTGGCTGCTCTTGCAGAAGACCCAGGTTTGAATGCCAGCACCCACAGAGGGGCTAACAAAGGTCCTTAACTCCAGTTCCAGGGGATCCAACACCCTCTTCTGGCCTCTGAGGGCATTTCCACACAGGTACACTTACATACATACAGACATAACACTCATAAACACATTTTACATAATGTAAAATAAAAAATTGTGTCTATGTTTGTGCATGTACATGTAGGTACTTTGGAGGCCAGAAGAGGGTGTTAGATTCCCTGGAGTTGGAGTTACAGTTAATTGTGAGCTGATCTGATGTGGGTGCTGAGAATCAAACTTAAATTCTCCCGGAAGAGTATAAAGTGCTTTTAACCACTGAACCATTTCTTCAGCCAGAGGCAATGAGTAGAATAGTTGTGCCCTCTAGTAAGTATCTTCGTTATTTGTGGTAGTTGATAAAACAGTCATCATGTACGCTGACTGCTCCTAGGTTGACAAGGTTAAGTCCCTGTAAACTTCTCATTTTCACCAATTGATCAATATATAAGCTTGTTTTATGTGTTGAAGACATCTTCTTGAAGATAATTATAATTTACAGATAGCCAAGTGCCAAAAGCACAAGTGCTTTCTAAGGCTTATCTTGTCCTTACTGTGCTTAGGAATACTAGAGAGCATCTGAGCCCTAACATTGACGAGAGGGAGCATTCAAAACAGCAAAATCACCAAGACAGAAAGTACAAAGATTGTGAAGAACACGGCCCCAAATATGTCGTGAAAAAACAGTTGTTTATAGTATGTGAGATCAAATAATGGGGCAGTGTTGAACCTCAGCTGGGAACATAGTTTCCAGGCAAGTTAAAACAACCAACTCCACATACAAGTGAATTTTACTGTGGCTTAAACTTGCAATAATTGGAATAATGAGGATCACTTGTACGGCGTCTGGAACACTTCCTTCACAGCTCAGTCCTGGGTGCCGCTTTTGATCAAATGGGACATGGCAGTTTCGGCAGACATCTGGCTACTAAACAAGGAATACTGTTGCCAGCCTTCATAATTTCTGCAGGAGATATATTACTTTTTGTACTCTTTCGATTCAATGCTTGGGACTGGACCAACGGCCGCTTACACGAGAGCTTCTGTCACTGAGCTACACTCTTTCTCTAATCTGATGTTTCTGGTGTTTAAAATTTGCCACAAAATGCCAGAAATGCCCCTCCCTCTCCTACTGATCCCCCTTGTTATTTCAGGCACCTACAACTCTCGTGGGTAGGCTCTGACTGGTTCTCACAATAATAATCTTAACATTCGGCACGTGGACTTGACAAAAAAGGCCACAATTATTAATTTTCTTCAGTTATGATTTCAAGCTCTCTTCCTGTTTACACTATTAGGCCTATCAGTAATCTATCTTGTTGGCTACCAAAGCAATCGCTTGATAGTTTTCAGAAAAGGTCTTCCCTTTTGATTTGTGTCTTATTTTACCTTCCATGATTATGTTTACAGTAATCCTACCCGTTATGTCCGTGCTCAGGGCAAAAACAATAAATCAGTCGAATGTCACCAACACCAAGAAGAGCTTGTTGTAATTTCTCCTCCACCAGGCATCCAAAACAGAATTTTAAACAGTCACACCCAGGATCTCCAAATGAATTTTCTTTCGGTGAGGAGGAACCTCCAGAGAGGAACGGGAAGTGGAGTCGCCTGAGAAGAGTCCGGCTGTCAGGGGCTCTGCTCCCGGCCGGTCCTCCGGCCTCTCCGGGAGGACTTCCGTCTGCAGCGCCGCGGGCCCGGGTCCGCAAAGCGGCATTTCGCCGCTTCGTTCCGGTCCCAGTGGCCGGCGGAGGGAAGACTTCCGCCCCGGCCCACGCGGCAGCCCCGCCGCAACCGTCAGCTCGCCGCCCAATTAGGGGCTTTCCGACCCCCGCGCGGAGCCGAGGGGCGGGGGCCGCGGCCGACTCGCCGAGGGCACCCCGCCCCCGCCGCCGTTGCGCCTCTGGGCGCACGCGCAGCCGCCGCCGCTCCGCATTTAGTCCGCGATGGCGTCCCTCGCGCCCCACGGTCCTCCTCCCGAAGGCGGCTCCCACCCCGCGCAGCCCGGAGGCCCCGGGACCAGCCCCTCACGCAGGTCCCGCAGCACGACTAGCCCTAAACTGGACCAGTAGTGGCCAGACTCGCCAGCGAGGAAAAGCGGCAACCGGAAAGGGTTTGACGGGTCGCGAGGCGGTGAGCCCAGGCCTCAGAGGAAGAGGAGGGCCGGAGCTAGCCGAGGTTTGCCGAAGGCGACGTTCCGGAGCCGCGCGGGGTGGGGAGGAAGGCCGAGGGTGGGAGAGGAGGGGAGTGGCGGAAACTGCCGAGGTTTCCCGAAGGCGGCCGCGGCCGAGTTGCCCGGATGTAGTTGGTGGAGCGGCAGCGGCGGCACCAGCGGCGGCGGCGGGAGGAGGCGGAGAAGGACCAGGCGGCAGCGGCGGCGGCGGGGGGAGGAGGGCAGGCGGCCGAGCGGGAGGAAGGGAAGGTGCAGGAGGCGCTCGCTCTCCGCGGGTAACCGGACGCGTCCTCGCCCCCTCCCCCCGGCTCGCGCTGCCGCCGTGTAGTTGGCGCCGCCGTCCCGGCCGCCCGGAGCGTGGTGCTGTCGGAGGGCGATGGCCCGGGA